TAAACACTTACCTTAGGATTGCTAACAATTTTTGGTCCCATTTTTATGAAACACCTTCCCAGATCGGGCCCGATTTAGGCCATGGTTAAATTTCTACACGGGAACCCTTAGTGGTCCAGACTGACAAAGACCAGTGATGCACTATTATCTATCAAGGCTTGCGCATTAGGTGTTTTTCAGAAAGACCTATAATTGAAGGACAGGAGCACCCTAAGAATCCGCATGCATCTCTAAATATTCAAATGATACGAATTACAACTAATTTAATCACACATTAAATAAAAAAAAATGCAGAATAATAAATTTCGTCTCTTAGAATTTTAAAGAGGAATTATTCCAAAAACGACGTGAGAAAATTAAACGAGCCTTGTTTCGCCTCGAGTGAGAGAGAGAGAGATGAGAAAATGATAACCAAGCGTCAGATCGTCACGGCTTCTACCTGTTAACTCGCCGTTAATTAAAATTCCCTTCATTAATTCAATCGATAAAGTAATCTATAATCCCTCGAGGCGAGAGCGATCTTCCTCTCGTGAAAAAAAAACTTGGAAATTTTCACTTGATTGATACGACTCAGTTAGCCGAGTATATACGCAAATAAACTCGTTGGATAATGTAAAATTGATTCAGTGCGCTTCTGCGTGCACTGTTAATTACGCAGGTGTTAAAAATCTTATTAACTTGAATTTTTAAATTTAGGCTTAAATTTTCTTGTTGCAATTCGTGTCGAGACTCGATATTTATAATATCGAAGATGGAAATTGGGACAATATTTTTTCTGCATAGGGACAATATTTGACGCACGGACGCTGAAGAGAGGCCCATAGCCCCACTTATTTAGACAGTGGAGTCTAATTTTTAGAATTTAGATATTGTTCCTTCAAAAAATAATAATTAAAATCTAAAATTACGTTTATATTCAACTTCTTAATTTCTATAATAAATGAAATGTCATATAAAATGAAATATAAAACTAAAAATGGAATTTTAATATCGATATCTTTATTCATATATCCTCGGCGTATTTTTATTTAAGTAAATGTCACTTACAAAATGTCTTACTGCATTTGAATTTTGAATTGATAAAAAAAACAATAAAATACGTTAATTAAAGTTCAAAATTATAATTTCAATTTTAATGAAAATATGTATGAAAATTTTATCAACTACCGCTCATACTGCTCTCTCGTACACATGTATTGAGAGAATAAATTATATCCTCATGATATTAATATTTGAATAAATTATTCATCATTTTTTATACGTACATTTATTTATAAAACAATATTGATTAATGAACTTTTACCCAGATAAACTCAATTATTTTTATTTAAATATTTATTATTATTATTATTATCGAAATTAATAATCTCTTTAAAATCGTGGGATTATTTGTATAGGCAAAATACAACATATAAATGTAGTAAGACAGAAAGAGAGACTGTGATGAAACAAAAGGATAAAAAGATGAACGAACAAATGAAGGAATAAATTAATAACTGAACAGGGCGTATAAATGAAAGGTCCGATGCTAAATTAGCGGCGATAACTAATGCATTTAGCAAACCACGTTATTCAAAATGGGGTGTGTAGTAACATACATACATTTTATAGTTGTGTCTCTGTCACATTTCGGAATAACACTCCGCTTGTTTTCCTCCTCTCTCTCTCTCTCTCTCTCTCTGTCTCTGTCTGTGTCTCGCTTTCTCTCTATCTCTATGCATATCATTACCGTGTAAATACGTGGCATGTAGTTAAACCTCGAACTAAGTCGCATATGCAAAACGTGCCGCTATTATAATAACATTACGCCAATGAACCTTCCATTGAATATACGTGCATCGTGCGCACGCATTGCATTGCTAATTATACGCATATATATCGGTTGTTTCACACTTTCTGAAAAGTCGCTAATTTTATGCAGGCAACCAACTCATTCACTATTCACTTTATTTCACCTCATAATTATATTTATATTCATTAAAATATTGCAAAAATTATTCATTTTATAATCATATGATTTGTATCGTGATAATAATTATTAATGAATTTGGAAATACTAAACATTTAACAGGCTTCGCATTCATTTATATACTAAAATCTACTATTTACTATATTTTTAAACGTTATGCTACTATTTGGCTACTTTTTTTTAGATTTCAACAACTAAAATCTACTATTTCTGTTTTTTTTGAGAATTTACACTACTTTTAATTTGATAATACTAGAAAACGAAAAAAATATTCTAAAAAATTATAATCAAATTCTTTAAAACGATTCAATTATTTTCAAAATTTTTAAAATAATTGTATCGTTTTAAAGAATTTGATTATAAATGGATTTCGAATATTTTGTTTAGTATTATTATTAAATTTCGCATAAGAATTCAATTTAAAAAAAAAAAAAAAAATTGATAAAATTCATCCAAAATTCAATTATTTTCAAAAATAATTAATAATTATTTTCAAAATTTTTAAAATAATTGAATCGTTTTAAGAAATTTGATTATAATTGAATTTCGAATTTTTTTAAATATTCGAAATTCAATTATTTTTAAAATCTGGTATTTTTATAAAATTTCGGATAAGAATTCAATTATTTAAAAAAAAATTGATAAAATTCATTTAAAATTTAATTATTTTCATATATAATAAAATTCATTGCAGAATTTCAATTATTTTTAATACAATTTTACAGGAAATTGCTCAAAAAAATGCAACTATTTTTAAAAATTTATTTTCAATTCCTCGAAAAATCAATTATTTAAAAAAAATGTTTTCTTTAAATTCTTTGGAAAAATTCAATTATTTACAAAAATATTAGAATTTTTCACAGGAATTCAATATTATATTCAAATATTTTAATAAAATTATTCGAAAGAAATTTACATTTTTTCTTATTTTTTATGGCACTTAGCTTCATTATTTTTGGGCTCTTTAAACCACTTTACTTATTTACTAGTCTCCACCCTTTGGTAAAGAATCTAAAATTATCAAAAATTCGAAAAACCGAATTTCTTAAAATTCAAGATTTTTTCTTCTCTTTTATGGCATTTAGCTTCATTATTTTTGTGCTTTTCAAAAACACTTTACTTATTCAATAGTCTCCAAATTTTAGTCAAAAATTTAAAATTATCAAAAATTCAAAAATCCGAATTTCTTAAAATTCAACATTTTTTCCTCTCTTTTATGGGATTTGGCTCCATTATTTTTGTGCTTTTAGAAAATACTTTACTTATTTAATAGTCTCGACTCTTTGGTAAAAAATATAAAATTATCGAAAATTATCAAAAATTCAAAAATCCGAATTTCTTAAAATTCAACATTTTTTCTTCTTTTTTATCGCATTTGGCTCCATTATTTTTGTGCTTTTAGAAAATACTTTGCTTATTTAATAGTCTCGACTCTTTGGTAAAAAATTTAAAATTATCCAAAATTATCAAAAATTCAAAAATCCGAATTTCTTAAAATTCAACATTTTTTCCTCTCTTTTATGGGATTTAGCTTCATTATTTTTGTGCTCTTGGAAAATACTTTACTTATTTAATAGTCTCGATTCTTTGGTTAAAAATTTAAAATTATCAAAAATTATCAAAAATTCAAAAATCCGAATTTCTTAAAATTCATCATTTTTTTCTCTCTTTTATGGCATTCAGCTTCATTATTTTTGTGCTTTTGGAAAATACTTTACTTATTTAATAGTCTCGACCCTTTGGTAAAAAATATAAAATTATCGAAAATTATCAAAAATTCAAAAATCCGAATTTCTTAAAATTCAACATTTTTTCTTCTTTTTTATCGCATTTGGCTTCATTATTTTTGTGCTTTTGGAAAATACTTTACTTATTAAATTGTCTCGACTTTTTGGTTAAAAATTTAAAATTATTAAAATATATCAAAAATTCGAAAAACCGATTTTTTAAAAATTCAACATTTTTTCTTCTCTTTTATGGTATATTTAGTTTCATTATTTTTAGGCTCTTAAAAAACACTTTACATAATTAATTGTCTCCACCCTTTGGTAAAGAATCTAAAATAATAGTCTAAATATTAAATTAGGGTCTGAAGTTAGATTGTCAAAATTCAAAATGGCGGATTCAAGATGGCCGACACTTTGTTTTTTCAGATATAGTTTTCTTATGAAATTTAGGAAAAAATTATATTAACGTAAAATGTCGAATAGATTTTTTAAGAAATTATATGAAAATCCTTCGTTCACTATGCAGAAAACAAAAAAATTTAAATTATTTAAAATTTAGAAATAAAAAAAAATAAGTCGATCTGTTACGCAAACTCTGTGTTGGTGATTAATTTGTTTTAGCAAGGGTGACCCTAACGGATTACTTAATGCTTGGGGGGCATATCAAATTTCTTCATACCTACCTTTTTAATTCCACTCCGATTACTATAGGATAGTCCGATTAACCCTTTGAATTCCATGTCACGGTCGCTTGCCTCAGTGAATAACAAAAATTTCAAAAGGGTAAAATGATTATTCACACGTTCATTTTTTTTTTATTTTTCTTTTCTTTCTTTATTGTTTAAATTCGCGTTGCCTTAAATCTAAACGATGAGTGGCGCGAATGGCGATACAACGTTATTTCAAAGTTTTAGCATTTTTTTTTCTTTCTCTATTTATATTCTCATTCATTCTCTTTCATTTTTTGTATCATTCTGTCTTTCTTTCTTTTTGCGCATTTATTCTTTTCTCAATTTACATTTTTACTCATTTATCATTTTTTACAGTTACACTCACATTCGACCTACAGTCTTTTTTTCTAATCAACTCTCCCTTCCTTTTATTTTGTATATATTTACGAGATATATACGACATAGAAAAATATGAATATAAGTTTCTAATGACTTTTAACTATATACACAATGTACACAATATAAAATACATTAACTTATTAAATATGTGCTTTCTAATATTATGTATACAATATACATACAATACAATACAAATTTAACTTAAAAACCATTATTGCTTTAAATTTTGTTACATATGGTACTTTATAGAGTGATAAGGTTGACAAATACACAAAGTGCCAACTGCTTAGAAAAAAACAATATTAAATATAGAAAAATTATTTTTTTTTCTACAAAAATTTAACTCTTTTATTAAATATACCGAAATAATTTTTTTAAATATCGTTCAAAACAGATATAATTATACTAAAAATAACATAATCACATGATAAAAAATATTTCGTCATTTTGAACAGGACGAAATGTTATTTCCTCTACGAACACATTTTTTTTACCCCAACCTCAATATTTCACAATCTCTCCAATAAAAACCTTTCTTGTGTCAAAACAACATCAATCATTAATATATATAATAGAAAAAAATATATTCCTCCCCTTCTAATATATAATTCAAATTTTTATTCTTTAAATAATTTTAATAATCTGCTTCTTTCAACCATTTTTTTGGAAGATTATATTTTTTTCAAATTAGAAAATTAAAAACTGATAGAAATACAGAAGGCTCGTGAAAATTATCCACTAGTGAGAAATATAGTTAAAAAAAGAAAAGATAAAACTTTTATGATAAAAATTATAAAATGAAACAGTCTTATTGAAAAGAGTTTATTATTTGCACTTGACATTAGAGAGCGAAATATTCGCGAGTGAATAATAAGCCAGAGACTGCTGTATTAATAACATTATTATTAACGGTATCTATTTATATCTATTTATATATTTATATATATTTACAGTTAAAAAATTTTCTTCTTTAAAAAAAAAACATTTTTTTAAATAGATGAAAATTTTTTTTAATACATCACTTCATAAACAGTCGCTTTTTTATCTCCAGATCCGGTAACAATGTACTTATCATCTGCTGAAATATCACAGCTCAACACTGACGACGATTCCTTTGACTGAAAAATAATTTTTAAAAGACTTTTGTTAACTTGGAATTCGCAGATAAATAAAAATATAATTTTTTTGTTTTAATTTGACATTAATAATTATTATTTATTATTATTTATTATCTATCAAGGCTTGCACATTATGGGTATTGCCTTTCGTTCTTCACTTAAGAACCGTTAGATTGGAGAACAAAATAATAATAATGTTTAAAACAGCTTTGAAATAAACGGCAATTTAAAGAGTAAAAGGAGTGAAAAAATGAGCAATTGACTACTTAAAAGTTCTAGTACATAGAATATTTTAAATTCACTCACCTGGAATATTGAGGCTCCATATGGAGTGCGCCAAGCATTTAGTAGGTTGTCTTTTCCGGTGGAGACAAACCATTTACCACAGGAGGCGAAGCGTAAGGACAACACGCAAGAGTCGTGCAGGTGTAGTTGATACTTGTCAGGTTTCGTGGCATGAAGAACCTCAACATTTGAATTTTCCATACCGACAGCAAGCCACTCACCAGTTGGACAATAACCAAGTGAAAATATTTGCGACGTAAAGTCATGTTGCTGTAATTGTCTACCCTCCCTGAGATCCCATGATCTAACCGTATTATCCAAACCACCAGTCCATAGCTTCGAACCATCGGGGGAAATATCAATGCAAGACGCCCCATCCGTATGACCCTGGAATTGTCTCACTAGTGTTTGATTTTGAAGATCCCAAACGGCAATATTTCCATCGCTACAACAACTGAAGCAGACCTTTGAGTCTGGTGAGATTGCAAGAGCGTAACATGCCGGCGCTGACGATGTTAATTCAGCTTTAATTCTTGGTGTGGGACTCGCCAAATCCCAAATACTCAGCTGACTAGCCTCACCACCAACTATAAGAGTTCGACCGTCGGGCAGAAGTTTCACCGATCTGATGTAGTTATCTCGTTGTAAACAATCCAACTGTGAAACAGGCTTAGGACTACCCGAGCCACTTTGACCAATGTCCCAAACTTTCACGCAACCCTTACCTCCGGTGTAGACGTATTTAGTTGGGTTTGAGATCGTTACAGCACAAACGACTTCGCCATGAGTGAGGGTGTTGATTTGACGAGCGTGTCTAGGGATTCCGGCTGCGCTTAATGCATCCTGTGGGAAGGGTACTGGAACCATTGTTCCCTCACTAGGTACATGAAAACTGTAAGCCCTAGAATCAAAAATGGATACTATTTTAAGTCCCGATGGAGGGAAAAGTTTAACTTCTAACTAAAGTTCAAGTCACCTACGGGGTCAATTCAAAAACTGTCTATCTATCTATTTTTAGCTTTCCTTATTCACCCAATGGGTGAGCATCAAATAAAGGAAAGCTAAAAATTATCGGACTTTGTGACTAGATTTAAGTTACAACTCCTAAAACCCCAAAAGTAAAAAACCCTCACCCAATGGATGAGCATCAAATCATTAAAGCTAAAAATTATCGGACTTTAACACTAGCTTTAAGTTACAACTCGAAAAAGTAGAAACTTACGGTTTTCCACCAGGTACGGGTCCTAGAGGAACAGGTGGAACCCTCATTGCTCCATGAGGATCGTAAAGTGATTGAGGTAATGAGGGACCTCTTGGTGGTCCATAGCCATTATAACCAAGCATATCCATGTGAGGATGTTGACCACTCGGTGGTAGATGATGAGAAGGTGGTCCAGGTGGATAATGAGGATACACTCCTGGAATTGCTCCCGGAGGCGGTGGTCCCTGATGATTTTTCCCTGACACAGTTGCCTTCAAACTACCACTTGACGCTGACGTTGGTGTCATTGGTTTTGAAATTGGGGTCGTTGGCTTTTCCCGTTCCTCCATTTTTTTTGCCGACGGTGTACTGGCATTGCTACTGGTACCACTTCGCGGTGAATGTGGCGGTACATCCTTCTTCGATTGAATACTCGAACCCAGAGGCGGAACACCCACCTTGTCAATGCCATTCTCACGCGGTGAAGAGGTGCCATTTACAGCCGGACTCGCTGGATCTTCACTTGCATCATCAACCACTAAATCCTGATCGCTCTTTTCTCCGTCACTCTGCACATGATAAAGCAAATTTTCCCTCTATTTACAAATTCTAATCTCTTTCCAAAATGCTTGCTTTCGGTTCTCAAAAAATTATCAGAGGGGAAGGACCTGAACCGAACGGTAAAAATTTTAATTAATCAATATTGTCACTCCTTAAAAGTTCTTAGAAGGTGAAAAGATTTTTGTAATTTACCCAATCGAAAAAACCCCAACGAAACAATAGTTCCCTTTAAAGAATTTCACGAAAGTAAACATACCTTTAAGTTGTAAAACGATTCATTACCCCAAATAATAATTTGATTGTACCAAAAAAATGTTTATAATGAAATATTTATTCAGGCCGTGAGAATAAATTGAAAGCCTGCTCTTTGGTGCCACTGCTTTCTGTAATTCTATATCGGCGTTGAATACTGCAATTTTGCTGTTTGCAATGGATTATTATCGTAATTGCAGCCGGAATACGTCGCCTGTAGTCAACAATTCAGTCACCGCACGACAGATTAGATCTTGGCATGAAAATAATCAAGAAATCTAAGACGTCATTTTGAAAAGAGTGGCAAAATAGCCCTCCACGACAAAGTATCTAATCTGTTTATATATCTCGCTTCAATGTTAAAGAAAGAAAGAAAAATTGCGGTCTATACTTAAAAGTGGCTATGTAGCAATTTTACAAGAGACTATATTTCAACTTACGTGATTAGCGTCTTTTTCATCTTTTTTCATTTTCTTCATGGCATGTATAGAATGATCATGATGATTTTGTATATGATGAGAATGATGTTCTTGTGGTGTCCGTGACCTACTGTATTTGTCACCTGGCGATATAGAACTTCTCTAAAACATAATAGAAATAAAACCGGTTTTAGAAATTTTTGTTCATTCAATAAAAACACAATTGTTTTTTAAACCCTTTTTCTTAGAATCAAAATAACCGATAATCACAACAACAATTACTTATACCGTGTAAAAAAATTGGAAAAAAAAACAGACGTTAAGACAGACAGAAAGTTCAATCACCGGTGGCAGGAACGTGATGTCGAAGGGAGTGTTTGGCAAAACAAAAAAGAAAGAAAAGGGGAGATTCTTTAGAAAAGAAAGAAAAAGAGGAGGCTTCTCACGGTCGAGAGACGAATAAACAGAACGTTTCAGGTCGTCGTTTTTAATACCTAGACACACTCGGCGATTCACGCGTCCTAGCGTGCAACTTTGGCTGGTAATAAGGCATAATGGAATTCGGGATACTGAACGTGGGCGTGAATAATAAGAAGAAAAAAAAAGAACAAGTGCTTCGAGAGTAGTCTGAAAAGAAAATAAGCTGCTGAGATGGGGAAGCAAGGAGTGAGAACAAAAAAAATGATCATCCAAGAGAAAGAGGGCAAAAGAAAAGAAAGAAGAAGAAGAAGAATCGGGTTAGAAAAGATGATAATGATTATAAAGCAGGAAAGCGGAGATTGCAGTGTGGTTAGCAATTTTACATTCAGGAGATTTTTAAACACGCCTAATATTACATTTAACGAAATTTATGTGAGAATTTCTTTTTGGTATTTGTATGCGCACAATTTGGTGCAAAAAAAAATTAAACAAACAATAAAAAGAAGATAAATTACATGTTTTTAGCGACGTAGAACAAATCGTTACCTTTATACATTCGTGTAATTTTATCAAAATTAACATATACACGTATCATCACTGGTGGTAATTAATTTGTTAAAGGAATGTGTGATTATATTAATTATTTCATCTCGATGGAAACTTATCAAAGAAATAAAAGTTTCTTTTAATTCTTTCTAGATAGTCACCTCTTCGTGGATAGTCGATTAATAATTAAACTATAAATAGAAATAAGATAATATTATTGCTACTCTCTGAGCTGTTTGACTCGATTGGCATTCTTTCTGTGGAGAGGGAAACTCGACGCGCTGATTGGCCCTTACCGTCAGGGAGGGGATTCTTGTTTACACTGTTCTTTCGGAACATATAAATAACAAGTGTTCGGTCAACTTGCTCTCAGTTGTCACAAACTTACCTAAGAGGAAGGACGTGAACCATAAATTAAAAATTAACCACAAAAGTTAATTTCTTTTCAAACAAAAAAAAAAGATTTTTGTAATTTATACAATCGAATTTTATTTTACTGATTAGAGGGTTGCAATAAAAATTTAATTTTTCCCTGAATTCGCTCACCTGTAGCAACTCTGGATTAACGCTTACAGACATAGGTATTTTTTTTTTTAATTAAACTAATAATGAATTTCTACCTTCATGCTTTGAAATCTTAAAATACACAGTGCAAAGGATTCCAGAGGATGAAATTTTAATCGCTACCTGATAATTGCCATCTAGAAAAACTGACGATTAAAACTATTAAAAAAAACTTACATACCATTCAACAAAGTTAAATTCACAAACAAAATATAATCGCAGATACAATGTGAAGAACAGTATGAAACAATGTTTTTATTAAATATAAAAAAAAGTCCGAGAAAGAAGGAGACAATTTAATAATAAGAGAGAAAATAGCGACGACTACGGTTGGAATTTCGTGAGAGAGAACGTAGTGGGTCATTTGGAAAAAGAACTGGCGCTTGTCATTGAGGGACTAATGTAAGTCCATTCCATTGAAACACGAAGTAATTACGGTCAGGCAGGCGGGCAGTAAAGAGGAACATGGCAATATTATCCATCCCCCCAAGAGAGAAAGAAAGAGAACCCAGCAACTAGTCACATTCTCGTTCAAATTCTCATTCTCGGTAATATTACCATGGTAATACAGCCGTCTCAGATCACCGCATCACTCCGTGAGGGAATGAGAGAGGAAAAATAAAAAAAAGGAGTATATATATATATAAAGAGTGAGACAAGGTTGGGTCCGAGATACGTGGACTGAGGGGAAAAAAAAGGTATGAGTAAGAGAGCAAAATAGAATGGCGAGAGAATGAGAGGGCGTCGATGGGCGTTTCGCGGTCCCGCGATGATTACAGACTCGGCGAACCTATAATACGGCATCTTTCTACCCTCTTTCTGTTCCTTCCCTTTTTTTATTCTCGATTTTTTATGTTTAATTCTTTTTTTTTCACCTCATTCTTCTAATATTTTCACTCCTCTCGTTTTTCTGCGCGCTTCTTATAGCCCCCTTGTCCCTATCATCGTTATTTCTTATGAGGGACCTATCTCATCTTATCGCATTTCATCTCATCTTTGCTGCTTAGGCCTTAGAGTATTACTCTTTACAGGCAGGTACTTAAACTCTCGTTTCTTTATTCTTAGACGGCGCCCTTGCCAATGTCTACTTTATGATGTGGCTCTGCTATAATAAGTTCGATATAAATCGACTTTCCCCCACGTCTCATTCTCAGTTGATGCTTATATATGTATGTATGTTACGCCGTTGAACACGACGTTTACATCGCAGTAAACGAGCTTTTTTTTCGCTTCCGATAACAATGTATAGTTGACCTTTACTTTGAAACCGTAATCGTGAAAAAAAAAGTTTCTAATTTCTCATTTTCTTCGAAATTATTAAAAATTGTTTTGTTTCTTCTGGTACTACTCGTCACTCACTCTCTACTGAATCTGCTAGTTTGTGATTTAACTTTTTACGTTCACTTATAATAATAAATTAATATACATTTTAATTAATTTAAATGTTTGTATTTTTTATCTCCTTTTTCGTCACGATCCTAAACAATTGTTTTATATATTTTTTTTATTAAACAATTGTTTTTAACAAACAATGCATTTTATGAAAAAAGACAAAGTTTATAAAATACAATTTTTGATCCACATGTGAGTGTTTTTGTTTAAAACTTGTTTATAATGCCTTATCAATAGAAGTATTTGATTAAAGGCCGCTAACAAGCACTAATTAACTTTTATTTCATTAAAATTGAATTGATACCAGAAATGGTAAAAAAAAATATTTTTTTTAAAATGCAAACCTGACATGTTTAATTTGAAACATGCTAATTAGTAAGCAAACGAATACTTTTTTTTTATTCTCCTTCATTTGCAGCTGTTTTCGATTATTTACAATTCCTCCAACATATATCATTAAAATATTTATATAAATATATGTCATCCAGGTTCAATTTATTAAAAGTAGTGAATATTTACAGTATTTCAGCGTATTTTCTTCTTTTATTTTAATTACGAGAGTTTCCCGTAGCATTTACAATTTTTCCCTTTTATGAATAAACTACACTTTTGATTCTCACTTGAAAAGTTTGTCATATAATTCAATATTTCAATATTCGTTTCAGTGAAACCATTATTGTATAGTCATAAATGTTATATAAAATATATAAGCTCTTTTGGTATATATACAATTAGATCCGTATTTGAATGATTAAGAGGTAAAACGGCAAATTAATAATACTATACAAGCAGACGCTAAAAATCGTATACTAAAAATAAATACATATCAATTTAAATGAATATTTCTCTTTTATCATTGAAATTCATTTTGTTTGCTCGTTTTCAATTTTTATTATGATGCATAAAATTATTCTCTTATTTAAACGAGTGTATTTGCTGTTGCATTTTCCACTCAAACTGCGTTATTCACAGTTTACACTAAAGTAAATTTTTTTCTTTTCTAATTAAAAAAAAAAAAATTATTACTGATAGCATTCAAAAACGTGGAGTGGGAAATTTTGATGATTCCTACAATCACGAGGCACGAGTTAATGAGACCTAAAAATTTTTTTTTAAACACCAAAGCGAATTCACTTTAAAATGAATGTTGCAAAAATTGTGAAAACGTGAAAATTAATGTTGGAATACATGCATATAAATTACAATCCCCAAAAAAAAAAAAATTTACCACTGTCTGAAATACTCACATGTCTCTCCTCGTTGGAACTGAGTCCTGTAACAGAAAGCGTGAACGAGAAGAGAATTAGTTTCGGTGAATTTAATGGGCGTGACTGCAAATGTAATTTTCGTTATTATTCGCTTGCACCCGGAATTATAAAGGGAAATGACGAAAAAAAAGAAAAAGAAGAAAGTTGGAGGGAAAAAAAAAATGCTGCACACTCGAGTCAACGCGGTTATAGCGTCGAGCCACCGATAGAATGTTAATAACGTTGCCAAGCGGGGCATACGCGTTCTCGTATAAATGATCTTCATGCATATTTATGTGCTTTTCCCTCAAAACCGCCGGTGTCCGCTAACACGGTGGTGCAAACACGCTCTGAAAGCGGATACCGCTTTGAAAATTTTCAACGAAGCGTTCTGCCGCTCGACCCCGCTTTTCGTCAAGAGACAGCAATTTTTTTTATTTTTTTTTATTTTGCAACCCTCTCCTGCCACCAATTCGTTCTCGGAATGCAAACGGGATCAAACGATGGAGAGAGAAAAAGAGAGTAGTCGCTCGCACTTACTTATATCGTTCCTGGTAACCGAGCCTCGATTAATTATCAAGTCCCTCGTAGCTTGAATCTTTTTTTTTTGTTTATATTCTGAGTTTTTTTTTTGCTATTCGTTCGTTGCACAAAGTGTGCAAAGCACGAACTTTCTATTACGCGACGCAGAGCAGTTACTCGGATTTTTCAATGGAAAAATGGTGAGGCATTAAAAGTGAAAAAATATATGAGAGCAGACCAGGAAAAATCGAACCAAGAGTGCACCAATCTCCATTCACTTAGTTTTGATTTCGTTTGCATATTAGCCTTGCAATCTAATTTTTCTCTGAGTACTTAACATTTGAATAGGTGTTTTCAAACTTTGATTACTCATAGGAAATGTTGCTTAGCAATTCTTGATTCAGATATATGACGATTCAGTAATGTTACCCGTCAGTAACACCCGTTAAAAAAAGTACAAAAAAGTGATTTGTAATTTACACAATCGAATTTAATTCTTATGGGCATTAGGATTGGGTGATCAAAATAAACGAATTAAATTGTCACGGATTACAAGACTAGGTAGGGCTGATAAAATAATACATACAGTACGTACCTCCGTTACTTTTGAGATCATCAGGTTGCCGATGGAAATCTGATTTGCCAAGCATTGATAATGGATGGCTGCCAGGTGTTCCCGGTGTTGCTGGTGCTCCTGGATTTAAGCCAAGTCCCAAAAGTTGAGCCGAAGCGGATGTTGGCATTGAGATTCCAGGAGGAATGCCTGGAAGTGACGGAAGTCCCGGATGAGGACCCATTGAGGCACCAGGTGGTAATTGTTGGGCGTGCATCTGCTGTATCATTCTCGGTAAATCGAGCCTGGGTGGCTAAAATCAAACAAAAGGTATTGTTTTCATTTTTTTCGTTCGGATGTTAAATATTAATTTAATAACGATATCATGTTCTCTTTTTTACATGGAAACTATACTGTTTCTAATTTGAATAATATCCGGTTTTTCTTATAAAGGTGATTTGGTAACGTGGACAAAGAAAAATTGATATATACTTTTCCCTTCCCTAACTTTTAGTCGACCTTAGACAATTTAGGAACACTATCTACAGATGGATTAGGATTACTCTAAGCAATTGTGTCCTGGGGTAATTCAGTCTGTGATAAACCTTCAAACAGGTAACACCTCTAATTCTAATTACCCTCTCCATAAAAATAAGGCATTTGTAATTAACACAATCGAATTTAATAGTTTCTAATTTGAAAAATATCCGATTTATTTATAAAGGATACGTAAGTTACAGTGCTTTCCTTTCGGTTTGGACAACTTTTTGAAAAGTGGTGTGCCTTCTATAAGAATGTTTTAAGTCTATGGTGTATGATACCATCATCAACTTTAGATGATTTGGTGACATGAACAATGAAAAATATATATGCTTCTCCCTTCCCTAACTTTTAGTCGACCTTAGACAATTTAGGAACACTATCTACAGATGGATTAAGATTACTCTAAGCAATCGTATCCTGGGGTAATTCAGTCTGTGAAAAACATTCAAACGAGTAACACCTCTAACTCCAATTACCCTTCTCATAAAAATTATTTGTAATTAACACAATCGAATTGAATAAAGTATTATCACATCACTAAATAAAGTTTGTCGAGCAAATTAAGAAATCTGGTGTACAATGTGTAACTTTTCTGTAACGGTTCGTAATGTTAGTATAATTTAACATATAAAAATTATACATTTAGCGCATGTATCATAAACCTTTTTGCTTCGATAAAACTTACACTGTCCGCATTTACAAGGATAAAGTGAACGCCTTACCGTGTCAATGTCGTGTATAAGAAATTATATTGCTCGAGAGTCCAGAAACAGTATAATAATATATTATACGCTGGAGGGTAAGCAAGGAAACGTGTTACTCGATACTTTCCAGAAGTTAATACTTGAGGGAATTACGGACTACTCCCAGCTACATGTGTATTTCGCGATACCAACGCGCCTTGGGATACCCAACCCTTATAACGATTCGGCCACGCCAACCCCTCTTACAATAGGAAAATAACTATCGTACGCAATCGCTGCAACAAGCGCCTGGTGAGAGGGATTATTTCATATAATCCTGAATAGGCGCACCCTCGTTTCCTTGGAAGCCAATCCCCGAGGCCTAAATGCCTAAGTGAAATCCATGATAAGCACGATTCGAGCGCGTAACGAGTTTATCGTTAAGCGCAAAAAAGGGGTCCTTTTCCATACTTTGTGGGGTGGAATATATTGCTGAAAATACTCGACTCGCACACCTCTATTACGGAAAAAAAAAGAAGAAGAGGAAGAGAGAGAGTCTTTATTTGCCTGGGAAACACCATCTGTTTTTTGTTCCCGATTCCCCTAGCTGACAAAATTAGTCCAATTTGGGAAAAAGTTGGTACATAAGAGTTCTTTATATCTTTAGTTAATTATAAACTAAAGTAGAATCAAATTAATATTTTTTCCAAAGTAATTTTATAAAAAGCAAGAAGAGTGAATATCTTTTAGTGACAAAAAGGCACTGTAGGTAAATCCGAACACATTGAAAAGTTAAAAATTTAAAATAATGAAATTCTTGACATGAGGTGTATTGGAAGGACATGTAATGCGGGAGGCAAATTAACGCAATGAAACGTAATAGTATCTAACGAGGCTTAACTCACCGTGAATAATACGATACAGGGTAGTTACCTCATTCTACTCTAGGTGAGGGGTTCCGAAGCTTTTGAGGGGGTTTTGACGAGAGAGAGAGAGAGAGAATGCACCATATGGAATGGCAGGGTGAATTCAAACACCAGGGACTGAATATATTCCATATGTGTTTCTCTGGCAGTATTATTAAACGAAATATTGATTCAAACTCCACTTTACTAAGTAATACATATTCATGGTACCCAGAAACTTTAATGTATCTGTCACTCTACTATTTCTCTCTCTTACTCGTTCCTTTCTTCTCTCTAAAATCCTTTCTTTCTTTTTTTTCACCCTGCGCCATAATTGTCCTCTACAAAACCACTTGAAACGACTCTCAACCCCTTTTTTTACTTGGACACTCGTTTTCTCGCGATGATAATCGTTCTTGGTATACATATGTAGAGGTGAATGTACCTTCTGCAGGCATACATCTGAATAATTTGGCACCCCTATAGGATGTAGCTTTTAATTCACCCCTTTTAGATTTTCTTCTCAGAATTCTAGATAAATGCACGTTCTTAAAAATTTAACATATTTTTTCAGAAAGAAAAAATCTTTGAATAGTAAAAATAAAGAATCGATAGGTTTATAAATTTAATATAAAATAATTGTACATTTCTTGGGAAAGGAAAATGCCAATTATAAAAATAACTTTTAGAAGAGAATACTGCCTTCCCCTTTCCTAACTTGATCGAACTTTGACGACATTATCTACAGATGGATTAAGATTACTCTAAGCACTTGTATCCTGTCTGTGGTCCTGGGAATTCAAGGTATGATTTTTAATTCAGTCTTTAAGAAATCTTATTCAAACGAGTCACACTGATATCTCCAATTACCCTCTCTATAAAAATATTTTTGTAATTAACACAATCGAATTTTATGAGAATTTTTTAATAACATGTATATATACAGAAAGAAACAATTATAAGTTACAATTATAAGAATAACATTTAAAAGAGAATACTAGGCGATTTTAAAGTTCTAAATTAGTTAAATTTAAAATTTAATTTTCTTTTCAAATAAGTTGAAATCAGAATACTGCAAACACTTTAGGAGATAGCAAAAAAATTAAAAGTTAATATTTCAATATCCATTGTAACTAAAAATATCTTCAATATTCGCTTCTTTATATAAATATTTAAAGACAAAAAAAGCTCTTTTACTTTTAGCTACAGAATTCTGCAAGAATGTATTAATTTAATCCTTTAAATTTTCAGAGTTAAAAATGTAAACTTTCGAACGAAAAAAGATTGGTTTTAATGAAATAAATTTAGAAGCAGCAAAGAAATGTATATTTAAATTTTTATATTGGTCTACTTTTAGTATGCAAGGATATTTTAACTGTAAGAATTGAATGAGATATGGCAAAAATAATGAAGGTATGATTTTTAATTTATTTAGTGAGAAACCCTCTTATCTGCCTAGTAACACTGAAAACTCCAATTAACCTCTCTTTAAAAATACGTTTGTAATCAACACAATCAAATTAAGTGGGCATTTTTTTATCAAAATGTACGCACATCCCGAGATGAAATTTTCAACTTATATTGGCCCATAAAAATCTAATTTAAAATTGATTCACACCTTTTAACGATTGTTTGACCCTTATGGCATTACTTTAACGTTTAATAAACCTTCGATTGTATATTTCCAACCCTAAAAGAAACCTTATGAACCTCAAAAGAACTTCTTAATTTTTTGATTCTGAAATAGTCAACCTTACTTCCTTTCCTTTAACCCTAACATACATTACTTTCTTCTTCACCAACTTCGTTTGAATCTAAAACATAGATTTTTGAATCTCCTTTGTCCCAAAAATATCATTTTTCGTTCCCGAAAACAGACCATAAAAATGGGACCAAAAATTGTTAGCAATCCTAAAGTAAGTGTTTAAAGATGTTTAGCTTAGTGGATATGAATAAATATACACAAAATATAGTTTTGGGATTTCCAAATTTCCCATCTAAAAATTTACTATAGTAAAAACACAACTATCACATAGCCTAAAACTCATATTGCAGTTAGTTTTTCGTCAACTACGACAAAGTTTGCACTCACTTTTTAAAAGTGTCGAATTTGATTTAAACAAAATTTATGTAATAAAAATATAAAATAGTTATTATCGTATCAAGGGCGCAAAATAGGTGATCTCGCCAAAGTCGTAATCACCTTTGCGCCCATGTTGCGAACATAATTTTTTGTCCTAACTGCATGAAAAATATGGCATCTAGGGCACGAGCGAAGCGGGCGCAAAAGTACAGCAAGCGGGCGTAAAAGTACTTTTGCGCCCGCTTGTGTGACGTCAGCGGGCGTAAAAGAACTTTTGCGCCCGCTTCCCCAGCCCCGGGCGAGAATCAGTTACTTTGCGCCCACTTTAAGTGCCCGAAATGACATACTTTTCGTGCAGGTAGGACAAAAAAACAATTTTGTGCTTGTGTTGTGGGTGACAAGTAAGATAAAAACTATCAAGGAGTAGGTGGACTATAATGAACAGAAATCAAAAGGTTAATTAGCAAGAATTGTAATGTTTGGAGGTAAGTGATATTTATTTTGTGTGATAATATTAAATAACTTCAAATATCACGGGGTATTAGGCGTAAAAACCCAATATCCATTGTTAACCCTACTTTAAAAAAATTATTTGAATCAAATGTTATATTACTGAGGCAATTATGAAACGATATTATACCTAGCATTTTCGCATAGTATTAAATATTTTGTATTTAGAACAAATATTATAAATTATTTCAACGTTGTCTCCAGATCATGACAATAAAAATTACCGCTGTATTAAATGACAATATTACCTCAATATTTCCAAACATCGACACTACAATGTTGCCATGCTTTATTGCTTCAAGTCGAATATAACATTTGCAAAAATATTGGCAATATTAATCTATTTTATTTATTGTTTAGAATGGACAAGAAGATTGTTAAATGGACGATGTAAAGCTGACAAGGGCCGATTATATCAACATCATGAATAAAAAGATTCCAACAAAATATATATATATAAAATACAAAAAGAAAAAAGAGCAATAATATAAAAAAATTCGAATTAAGTGAGAAACTTAATAATAATGTTTTAACGTTTAAAGTTTAATTTAATTTAAAATGTAAAAACTATAATTGTAAAAGTACCAGA